AGCAACAATCACGGAAGACAAGCAGCGAAAAAAGAAAGGAGTACATATTGTGATTGGGAAAAGAGCGTTGGTCGCGAGTAAACGCGCGTGTGGTCTCCGAACTGATCGCGGCCCTCTCTGTCAAATACTTGATATCATTAGATTTAACGACCCCTCCTGGATGCCTCTGTTCCATGGTTCCCTCCCCGTAGCTGAGCCGTTCACCACTGGCCATGCCGCGTGCTGCCACGGCGGCAGCCTTTCATCTTCCTTAACCAGCGCCACTCTCTTCAGCGTCCAGAACGACTATATACGTGCACGCGAGTCGACCACGACGAGAGTCCACCGCGCGACCGCCGGTTCTGGGGAACTACCGCTTCACCGGGCCCTTTGTGCGAGCGTTTCCACCTGTATACAGGGTGGGTTCGCAGAATCCACCGTTCGCCGTCCGAAAATCGCCCAATTTTTAGGTTCTGGACCTTGAGATCTCGAGTTTGGAAGATCGTTGAATTTGTGGTATTCTAATTTGGCGAATTCGCGAGGGAGAGATGTTGGGAAAACAGAGGTGCTCGAGCTTTAATTTTGTAAAGGGATGAGATTTGGAAGAACGATAATTAATGGTGTTTTGATCATTCATTTTTGTAGAATTAAGGATACTTGTCTAATTAAAATTGCAGGATTATTAGGTACTGGACTCTTGGATTTCGAACGTGGAAGATTGTTGGCGATAGAGGGACAGTATTGAAGTAATTTTTTTTGAATAATGTGGATTATTGGAGGTTTTAGGGAAACTTTCAGTTTTTAAGGGAAACTTCGTTGTATTTTAGGTTGAAGGTTTTTGCATTGTTCTGGTAAATTAAATAATCAAATTTGCAAACGATGACTCTCAAATTCAATATCCTAAGAATGTCACATATGTCTTTTCTAAAATAATCCATTCACTCATGATTGTAAGATATGCGAGATTTCGGCAGCGAAATGGTGGCCTGGACTTTGTCACCCATGAAGAGAAATCGCGCGGGTACCCGAGCCCTTTCCCCGGAAAGTCGAACGAGGGGGCTCCAACGGTTTTTCGGAGCAACGCAGGATAGGACGCGGAGAGGACACTCTTAATGTAGCCGCCGAGCGAGACGGACACCCGAGTACCTTAACAGCCGCTTACATTTATAAAATAATACGTTTCGGTTCATAGTCTATCGCGTGTTACGTTTACTTAAGTTGTGCTGACATGATATTCGATGATGCTGGATTCTAATTTCGCGAAATTGTGGAAAAGAAAGAAATTCAGACGTTTAAACGAATGACTAATTAATACCGCTAAACTTTCAATCTAAATGTCGCTTGCAAAATTAAATTAAAATTCCACGAATGAATGCTACTTAAAATCGATCTCAGAATACAATTTCACATTACCATTAAAAAAAAAGGGTTAGAAGTAATAACGGTCGTTCGCGTTACTCGATGTTCGAATTTTACCTCAGCCCTCGGGCTCCTCTCAATGGTTATTCCTGTGAGTCACACGATATCGAGCGAATTTTTCACCACGAAGTAGGTGAACCAGGCTCGACAAGCACACCGTGTATACGTGTGTACATATATATACATGTAGGTATGCTCGAAAAGATCGTTGCCGTGGAACTCGGGGCAACTTGAGCTAACTCGATTGTTCCGTACGGAACAAGGAGGCCTTTCACGCGGCTCTTGTTCTGCCGGTCTTTGATGAAGGATCGGCACGTATCGCCCAGCTCGATGTCCCGCGAGGATAAGATTCAATTAAGTCGATATCGACGAGGGGATAACCAGCCCTTTACGTACCAGCGTGTCATTATGATTTAACGAAGGGACTTTACGCGAACCCATCTTTCCATCGATAACGCGAGGATTTTTTTTTTTCCGTATCGTCGTTGAGATAGAAAAGTTGCGCACAGCTTGATTTTTCGGGAAAAAATAATTTGTCCAGTAACTGAAGTCATCTTTGCACTGTGTTTATTTAGAAACTGTGCGATACATTTATGCAATTTTACCTGGTTATATGTTAATGACAAATCAATCGTGCGTTTAATTTAGATTGGCAATTGGAGAACCATTCGTGAACGAAAGAAGGCAAGAGAGATGAACCAGACTAAAGGAACTGATTATAATTTTCAGTGTCTCATAAAAAATTGATAATTTCAAAGCAACGATGTGCTTAAGACTTGAGTGATATAAACGACTATTTTCGAGGAAATCAAACCCTCCTCCATCTTCACAAATAACAGAACAAAAAATGGAGCTTCCACCGTGTCGACAATTAAAATCTTCACTCGAAGGATCGCAGATCGTTACCTCGGAAAAATTGCACGAAACCACCGGTTCCCACTCTGGTCCGAAATGAATAGATCCAGAAAGCGGGCAATTTTCCCCGACAAAACGATCAGGGTCTATATCGAGCGGACAATTGCGCCGTAAATCATCCGCGGTATCGAGCTAATTGACAAATAAATCGCGCCCGAAAGTGGATCCATTCGTCTTGGCGAAGACGGATAACGTCGATCGTAAAATCTCTCCGCCTCCTTCCACGCGGCGGTTGTTCGAGGCTCGTGCCACGGAGCGGGCAAACGTGCCGGTGAACAAGGTTGATTTTCTGCGGAAAGAGAGTTATTCCCGAAGCACGATCGAACGTATTCCTGAATTCCAAGTTGACTCAGCGAACACGGTGCACCGTCATCGCGCGCGATCGCGCTCCAAGAAGAGAGGCATGGACGAAGATTTATCTCCGCGGAGCACGTGCCCCGGTCTTTTTGCCCGTGCAACATTCCTATTGGCTCTCGAGGATCGAGCGAAAAATATGACCGCGTTATTAGCTCAGAGACGTCGATCGAGGGAAAGGAGTCTGTCGAGTCTCTTTGTCCTTTGCACAATTATTGGAGAGCACTAGACAGTGTGATTTTCTTCTTTCGAATTCTGCTTGGATTTACGTGGATTTTTAGTGGTTTCTCTTGGAAGATGTGAGCTTGGATCCTCTGAGAAGGTAACGATCTTATTTTGGATCAGTTCAGGTGGAAACGTCGTCTTTGCTTTCAATTTGATCGTTTTTTGGTGTTACTCCATATTTGAGAATAGAGGAGAATGTATTTTTGATGTACACAGGATACAGGAAAATATAGATTTGATATAAAATCTAGAATAATGAAGTGTTGGTCGATGATTCGCTCGAATTGAGAAATCTCGAAGAAAGAGCGATGAAAATAGGATAAAATAATCATCGAGCAGATAAAGAGAAAAAGAAATTTACATTGCCCCGTGGCAGAAGAAAGAACACAACGGAGGGGAAGAATTTCAGGAATGTCCAGGAGCGTGCTGGTACACGCCGGCAGGCGAAGAACCAGTATACAAGTGTCGGCATCACCCATGGATAGTTTTTATGGGGTGGACGTCGACTCGACAACGCGGACAAGAAGAAGACCAATTACCGTGATGAAACATTAACCTCGCGACTTTTACGTCCACTCGAAACTCGTTTGTCCCGACGATCAATGAATGAAATCATCGTGAACTCGTCCATTCCATTACAACTGATACCTGATACAAGTCGCAGAAAAGTCTCTCTCGAATTTCATCGTAATTTATCAAATACCTAACATTTTATTGCAATTCAAAAAAAAAAAAAAAAAAAAAAAATTTGTACTTAAAATTAATTAAAATTAGAATCGCAGGAAAATGTCCTCAATTACGTTAACTCTTTGAAAAAGTAATGCGAGAAGTAACATGTTTGATTTTACGTACAAGTTCCTCTAACTCTTTCCTGCGAGGTTTACTATTCTAAGATAAGAGGATGAGGGACAATGGATTCGTAAGAAGAAACATACGTTTTTTCTTGGAGTCCTCGTGCATACCTCCGGGTGTTGCAGCTCCGTGATTATGGTGGTGGAGAGCCAGGGGGTCTTGAGGATGCGGATGAATGGCGGTCAGGGCACTTCCGGCTGGGTCACCTGGGTTGACCCCGACCCCGACCCCCAGGTGAAGAGCACCATGCTGCGTCGTGTGTGCCGGAAGCTCCATGCTGATCATAGCACGCCACCCTCCTTCCGACCCTCGTCTTCCGCCACCCTCCTCCGCCTCGGACAACACCCCGTCGATCTGGACGAGGCGTCTGTTCAACCCCTCGTCTCCTTCTGGAATCCGTTAAACGTGCAATTATTTCGATACTTGCTCAGGTGAGATAGGCCGTTTTAGAGGGATCTTTGACCCTCTTAAGTTCCACTGGGACTCCAGAGTCCCGTACATTCTACCGAATTTTTCTTAACCCTCTAAGCTCCCTTTATTAACCCCTTTTGAAACACCGGGGCTGTTTTAAATTTGTAGAATTCTTTTTTAAGGTTAAAATAGTCTACTTTATGCTTCAAATTGGGAGGCTACTTATTTGGAATATATGAAAATGTGAAAATTGTGGATTTCTGGTATCGGACTTGGAGGGTTAATAATAAAACGACGATCTTTTTTTCTGATTTCTTTAAGATTGCCATTTGGTAGGCTAGCTGAAGATATTTTGCAAGAGATTCGCGAAAATTTAGGTCGCTTCTCGGTGCTCGCTAACGAAATATGCAAATGAAGTCTCTGACAATTTCTAGCAATTGTAAGTGTACCAAAGGAGGTTTAAGAGACCGAGTCTTGAGGTTCGATCTCTTCGTCCTTTCGCGTTTCGTGTAATAGTAAGACTGATGCGCTCTGGACGAGAGCTCGTCTTCTTCAACCGTCAGTCTTCTTTGTCCCGTGTCGCAACGAAGATCAAACGCGGTTTTCCTGGAGACTGTTTCTGTTGAAGTAACCGAAAACCTTCTCTGTCGGCTAAACCGAGGGCCTCGCGATAAGACACTTTCGGCGAAGCCGAACAATGGTGCCTAATATCGAATTTCTTACGTATACAATCTTACGTAACAATTTTTTCTACTCCTGCAAAATGTTCTCCACATATCAATTTGTTTATTTATATACCAAGTTATCTCTTAATTTGAATATTGACGAATCTGCCATCCCCAAAAATGGCTACCTACGTTATTATAAAACAAGGTCCAGCTATTTACTCTCTGGGTAACAAGTAAATCATAAATCATCGATCCAATCTCTATTGAGAATTAGAACCATTAACTCGAACTCCGGTGAATCCTCCAGAAATTCCAGCCGTTCCAATCACAAGCAACAGAACTATCATCCGTCGAACAAAGAGCCTCAATCACGAGAATCTCTGGTAGACCCCCCAAGAAAACTCTACTCCCTGGAGCGTTTTCTTTCTTCCCACCGGTTAGCCTCGTCACAGGTGCACACAGGTGTGTCTTGGCTGTGGAGAAAATGGTTCACGGAGGGAAGTTTCATGAATCGACGACCCCCCCCCCCCCGCGTAAGAATACCGTGGACAATGGCGTGTCGCGGGCGTGTTGCGTTTGCCCGTCGAAGAAGAAGGAATAGCGGCAGAAAAATGAGGCAGCGGGGCCGGTCTTCGAACATCTCTCGAATCGCCTTTGCCACGCTTTTTACGCCCGCGGTCGACCATTTCCTCGCTCCTCTCCGCGTAATGGCCCGGCTGGCCGGTGCTTTTTTGCTTATTACGCCCGAGAAGGCCGCCAGACCAGCCACCTAGCCACCGCTGATTCCTCCGGATGAATGAAAGGATGAATGGAGGCGTCGTTTCGAACGATACTCCACCCGGATCGACTCCGACCCAGATGCTTGTCCGTTTTCGGTTACCAACCAGCGGGGGAATTGCTTTTTCTTGCTCGCGAGCAAGCTGAAATCGCGTTAGACCAAATCGTTTTACTAGGGACGACACCTTCGATCACGCAATCGGGCAAATTGAATTTTTCGTTTCGCTGCTGGGTGTTTCCATTCAAGGATTACAAGGTTAATTGATTGTCGACTTCTTCTGGGAATTGTGTCTCTGTGATGGGTGGAATTGTCGTTCTTGGACAGTGTGTAGCGGAAGATCTTGGACCCAGTTCAAACTTGGAATTGATAATCCCAAATTTTGTGTTTCATTCGAGGATTCCAGGGTTAACTGACTGTGTGCCTTTTTTGGTAATAGTGTCTCTGTGATGGGTGGAATTGTCTTTTTTGGACAGTGTGTAACGGAAGATCTTGGGCCCAGTTCAAACTTGGGATTGACAATCCCAAATTTTAGATAATTCGTTTATTTTAAAGAAATATACTTGAATTAGTATATATCTGAGAAGAAGGAAACAGTGTAACATGTTTCAGAGTACGCAGCGAAATTTTCTTTACTTCTTCAATATTATTAAACTCAGATTCCACAAATTCTTATTTTGGTAGTTTCTCCGTCGACATTTGTTAACTTATACTTCAGTTGTTTATTATGGAATCCGGGGCTAGTAATCTTCCTTTCCGCGAACTCGACGAACACATGAAAGAAAAGGGAAAAAATCACAACAGTATCGAGCGTAGGTTTCCTTGGACTTCGAAGACACAAACGATGAAAGGCGTCGTTTGTTTACAGTGTTCTTCTAGGCAGCCGCCAGTACGTTTCGAGCTCTGCGACGCAGTTAAACGTGTAGTGCGCCCGCATAACGAACAGAACAAGGTACGTACATCCAGTGAAAATTCGTCCCTGCGTTAATTAGATCTTCGCAGAAGCCTTCCAACCGGTATTAATAAACTCACGGTAGAATTGGGGGTAATAAAGACTAGCATCTTCCCGAGCCGGAATCATCCTGCGAGCCAATTGTCATCGGGCGTTCGCCGTTCATCCGTGAAATTTGAAACAGCTCCTGCGTTTCCGCGAGAAACCCGCGAACCGGAAGACTCGTGGGAGCAGAACTACGCGTTTCCTCTCTCCGTTCCAAGATGCAAATTGACGACATAATTTTCACATAGTCCCTTCGTACCTGAATCAACCTAACTCTCCACAGAGTGAATAAACACTGATACTCTCGAACCTCCCGGAGCTTCTCTAAACCTCAGAAAACCGGCGATCATCTTCGTCGTTTCCGCGCCGAAAAAAGGAGTACGAAGAAGGGAGGGAAACGACACGGTTTCTCCTGTGCAAGAAACGTTGCAACTTTGGCGTAGAGTAGCAGCAAAAAGGGCAGGAACTTATCGGAAATGAGGACGGTAGAGGGAAGGATGATTGTTTAGCTGGTAGGCTGGGTACGTTTCTGGTCGGAACCGCGCGCGGTTTCGAACGCGGAGGGCTCGTGCTGGCCGTCTCTAATAGAGGTTGGAATGTAAGCTAGAACGGCGAGTAAACGTCGGGTAAAAGCCAGACGATCGTTGGACGGAGAGAAATCTGTTGCGCGGAGCGAAAGAGTAGAGAAGCCAGGCGGGATTGTTGGGATACGGTTGAAACGGCCTTAAGTAAAGCAAAGTGGGTGAGTGGTGGACGGGCAAAGTGCGCGTAAAGACCAGCCTCGTTCGGGAGACGTTCCCGTTTCCCTCTCGCGACCGTGGGAGTCCGCACTGTGTGTACGCACTCGCTAAAACCATTGTTTATGGCAGCCCTGAACGGCCGCGCACTTTGCTAACTAGCCCCTCTCTTTAGACAGCGGAGCCTCTAACTGTCGGAAGGAAATCTCGTCTGCGGGGCCCAACGAGCCTCCAACTGGTAATCGTGTTTGCGTAGGGAAACAAGCCCTGCGTGTGGTCGTCGCTATTTTCTGTCAAGTTGTTCGAGGTTTCTATTGGATCGTGTTGTGTGAAATTTTCTTCGGAAAATCGTCTTTTTACGGCGCGATATTCGTACGACAATCGCTGTGACTGGCTGTTGCACATCGTTATGTTTATTGACAGAAATAGAAAACTATTTACGCCTTTCGTACATATTGATAAATCCTGTGACAGCGTATACATACGCCTTTCGTAATTAAAGGGTTAAGCATTGTGTGAACTTTGGCACGGTGACTGCCATTCTCTCAGGAAGCCATAAGAAAATTTTCATTATTCTAAGCGTAATATTTTTTTGTTTTATTACTATTAATTTATTTCTATTCTATTTCTTTTTTAAATTCAGAATAATGTCTAGTTAGCTACGAAGTTCGAAATTTTTAGTTGACTACGAAGTTCGAAACATTTGAGACACTCCAGTCAGTGGTGACCATCGTGTTAAGTTATAAATCTTAGAATTTTTCAATACCGAAGTAATCACTGGGGAGATCGACAAGTGTGCCCAAGTATCCCTGGGAAAAATCGCCTTGAATTATCGATACTCAATCAGAAACATCGAAACGCCCAGGTACACCACACATCGGACACTTAATCTCCTCCCATCGATTAAGAACCAGCTTCCCCTCGCAGCCGGTGCAACCATAAAGCGAGAGGATTCCTCACATCGAGCCTTGCCGTAGAACGCGCTTAATAAACCCTCGAATTCCTTCTCTGAGAAACAAGAAACAGCGGCACATACCATCCTCTCTTCAAACCAATAAAAGAAGCCAACCTCTCGTGCACTCTCCCTATATATAAACCTACTATAAACAATATTTTAAAAACGGATCGTTCTAACTACTCTCCGTAGAACTATCTGAAAGGAAAAATAGCCGTAGGTATTAACCGGTGCTCGATTTCCGGGCTTCGCGATCGAACCTTTGCCAACGTGAGAAAGAATGCAACACGGAAGCTGTAAGAATCCTCGAGGAACGATCCGCCATATAGATCATCGCGAGAATACCGCGCATTCCGCCGCGCGATTCGAATAAATTAATAAACATGACCCAAGCCGGAGAGGAGGAGCGAGAAGAGATGGGGTAAGGGTGATCTCTAGGCGCCGTTGTGAATTCCATCGAAATCCCATGGGAGAGACGTTGCAGAGACTGTGCTCGGATCCTTTCCAGGATCCCATCTTCGAATGGGTCCGTTTATGGGTTGCATAATGTATCGACGTTTTCGCGTGAGACTCGCCGCGGTTAGCTTTCGACTGTTATTCGGAAAACGGTTCCATGGTATACCCACTCTTCTCTAGGTTCGGAAGAAGCCTCGGGGATCTATTGCAAGGCGTTCAGGGTGCTCGAGCAATTTCTCGATGCATATTGTCACGCGTTGTTAAGCGGCCGGAGCACCGCCATTACCGCCAGTCGAGAGGGATCGACTGGCGGCGGAGAAAGATGAGCAGGAAGAAGAAAGGTAGTAGCTGGCTACTGCTCGCTAGCTAGTTAGGCTACCTTCCACTATTTACTGTTTACGTAAGGGAGAGATGATCCAGGAGTTCTCGTGGAAATTCAGAGGATCTTTGGCTGTTTCTAGTTTATGCTCGCTGATTCTCGTGATGGATGGGTCTGGGGTTAGGGTAGCGAGGGACAGAGTGATTGAGAGATTTTGAGAATATTTCAAGATTGGAAATTCGTGTCCTGTTTTAGGTTTCAGATGGATTTCGTAGCTTCAGACAATCGTAATTACTGTACGATTTATCTAAACCATCTTTAAGAATGTTTTGTTACTCCAAGACCTATAGCGAAGATGAAACTTGGAAGAAAATTTTTCGAGATCGTCTCTAAGGATGTTTTCTCTATTCCGAGACTTATAGTTAAGATGAAACTCCGAAGGAGGTTGACCTAAACGACTCGAACGAAGCCAACAAAAGTCTGAAATTCATAAATCACACGCGAGTGGAATAAGAAAAAATGGAGGCTGGATAATTTCCCAGCCGTTTTGCCTGGTCTTAATCACATGGATCGTGACAGGTGGACGTTTCTACCGTTACGTTAACGATCGACAGGGAGGCTACGATCCGAGCAGCTGAATAATTCATAACGATCGGAGGATTCGCGGACGCGTCCAGTTTTTTCTGCGGATCCTCGATGGCCGTACGATGATCGTGGGCATATCGAGGCGACGACGATCGCGCCGCTCAGGTTTCCGATGGTCCTTATGAATATTCAGCCAAGGCGTAGCCTGAACTTCTCGTCGACGCAATCTACGAGCTCTCGCGCTCGCTCGCGCGCGCCACGGATTAGCATTATGGCGCTCGATCGAGCTTTCAGCCAACAAAAAGATCGCCGTGGCTGCTCATTAACCCCATTACCCGTACTTGGCCACCGTGGCGACGCACGTGGTGCAGCCACACGAGCAATTCACAAACGCATATATCTACATTAATGCCAGGTACAGTGGCTGGCGTGAAGTGAACTCGAAATTGTACAGCTGCTGAAAGAAACGGGTTAATTTTTTCTAGACGAAAGATCACTTGTACAACGTACAATTAGGTTACCGCTGTCACTTGAATTTCTCAAATTAAATCAAATCGAAATTATATTCTCCAGAAGGGTGTTTCGCGAATATTCTCGAAACGAGTTTAACAGAGATGAAATTACACTCTTCCAACTTGAACCCGCGTTTAGAAGCGTTACCGCGCAATGTCCATCAATCTCCGGACTCTTTTTCTCCGCGAAGCGTTCCAGTTTACTACGTTTCCACGACGTTCACATCGAAAGCACCGCGAGCAAACATCAGTTTTCACCTGATTATTCAAATTAGCCGGACTCGAACATAATTATTGACATTAGCAGATGCATGGTTCAGATCTGAAACTATAAATCCTCCGGGAACACCGTCCATCTACCTCACACATCGAGCAAACTACACCTTAACTTTCCTCCGCTTGCGACATAAAGAACCTACGCCCAGAGCATTCTCGAGCTGAAACACACTCGAATCAATCAGTTCACCGCCCACTCTCGAGAGATCGTTCGCGGCTATCGCGACAAAACACTCGTTGCGGAAAAACACCATAAATCCTCTCCGCAGGAAGGATCTGAATCGGAGCTCGCGCGTCTCTGCGTCGCGGAGGAATCGCGAGGGGAAGTTTCACGGTTTATCACGGATCGGCTCGTAAATCCCCGCTGCGTCGTTATCGCGCGCTATGTACACCGCGGCACGACAATCCAACCGGCGCGTGGTGGTGTCCTGTTAATGAACAAAAATCCGCGAGCCTACTGGAGCATGGCGAGAGGAGGCAGAGAGCAGCGGCCCACGTGAGGAGAGATACGCGGGTAAGTAAGTGTGTAACGCGTCGCGTCTGTCGCCGCGACGTGGCCCGATTCCGGTTTCTCCGCTTCCTGTCCAGCTGCTGGACCGGGTAAAAGGGAAAAGACGAGGTTTCGCGAATCACTGGCTCCGGATGAGCCACCTGTGGCACGTGCCGTTCACGGCCGTTCTTGCGCGACCACGTCCCTCGAGAGCTGCGTCGAGATCTCGCTCGATCCAGTGATCGGATAGAAAGTGCAAGCTATCTGGATCTTGTGGTGTTGTTGGTAGTTTATATTTTGGGGAGATGGACGTTTTTCGAACATTCGAACGGTGCTTTTTTTGTACATTTGTAGGGTTTTTTTTTTATTGCTACTTTGGCGCGAAATTCAAAATTTCAAGGGTTAATATTTGGGAGATTCTGAGTGATATTGTAATTGGTGGGTTTCTAAATTTCAGGGGAATGTTCTTAAGTGTATATTATTCAAGTCCTCTAATTTAACATTTTTATTGCTACGTTAAGTAGGTTTGTGACGACAGGTGGCTTTTGTAAATACGTAAACTAGAAGCATTCAGCCAGGACTAATTTTATTACCTATACCAGCCTAGCACTAAATGTCACAATTT